TCCTATTATGGAAGAGGAGTGTCTGTTTAGATGAAATGACCTCAGATGAACTGCAGGTTGGGGCCCTCTCAGATTCCATAACCACATAGCGATGGAGCCATTGCTTTCACTCTCATATCCACATACAATCATTCAGAGTTTAAGACATTTGTTCCCTAATTATTCCCATTAATTACCTGTTTTCCTTAACTGGGGCCAGTATCACCTCCGAAAAATGTAGAGGTTTAATTGTGGTCCCTGTTCCTGCCTAGTGGAGGTCAATTCCACCTTGGAATCACATGGAGGCTTTGAATGTAACCTCCTGCTGGTAATCAGTCTGTGTCAGCTCTTATCTGTCTACCCCAGGGGCCCTTGACTGGTCTGCACGTCCACTCTGGTTCTCCATCTGCCTTCACCTTGTGAGAGCTCTGGTCTGGGATCTCACAGTCCTCTTTGGCCTCCTGAAAGGAAGGAAACCCTTTGGGGGTGTGTACTTTTCTGTTCCAGGGGCCATAGTGCCCAGGAGCGGCAACCCCTCTTACCAATGGGGGTATGGCAGCTTGATCTCACTGGGGCCTCCAGTAATGTGGAAACTTCTGGAAATCAGGAGACCAACAGCTGGTCCAGGTAAAGGAGAGAAAGTTTATTCATGATGGTGGGCTGACATTCAGATCACTCTGTAATAGCACCAAACCCCAGCTCAAGTTTTTAGGAAAATTTATAGTCAACTTATATGGGGGAATTTAAGCAAGCAAGTAGCCTGTATGTGGTAATTAAGCAAGTGGTTAACACATAAACATGTGGTTACAAAAGATCACAAGAATGTAGCAGTTTGGGAAACAAATATTTCAATGGTCCAGTAAAACAAAACAAAACAAAAACAAGAACAACAAGAAAAACCCCTAAAGGGTGCGAAGGGTGAAGGCAGATTCCTGTTTACCTTCCTCATTCTTTTTTATTTCTTTCTATCTTGTCTTGGGGCCTTCTGTGGTTCAAAGCTCTTAGCAGCCATCAATGAGTTGCCATCACAGGTACAAGAATGCTTGTTTTAGATATTTACTGTCAGTTTAAAAAGGAGAGCCCAGAGGACACAAAAAGGGCAGGCCAAGATTCCCAGTTGTTCTCTTTATATTCTCCATGGGGGAAGCTGGGGGAGGGGTGGAGTAGGGTGCACAAGAACTGTTGCTCAGCTCATGTTGCCCTCCATGTCTTCCATAGTATCTTTGAGGTGCCATGACCCATCCAGAATCTTCACTGGGGGACAGAGCAGTCAGGGTTTTTGGAAAGTCAGGGGGGAAAGAGATTTATTTCTGTTCTGTGAGGTGGGGTGGAAGGGCCTCGGTCCATGCCCTGGTATTCACTTCTCCTCTGGACCTCAGTGTGTCCCTACCTTGGCACTCAACACTGCCCTTGCCCCCTGCTAAATGGGCCTGAGAGCAGTTGCCTCCCCAGAGTAGCAGGGAGGCTGAAGCCTGAACTTGTGAGCTGTGAATTGCCTGCCCATAAGTGAAGGAAGCCTAATTTCTAACAAAAGGGACCTCTATGACCACACAGGGTTGGGGAAGACTTTGTGTTCAGTTGCTCAGGAACAAGGGAGTATGTGCTTGAGGACTGCTTGAGGATCTGGCATCTAGCTGAATGATCCGGGATTGACAGGAGGCAACTCTGACTTCAAGAAGCCTAAGACAAAAGCACTTGCAAGGTTCTACCAGCTGGAAAGCCTCTATTATGGGGGTCAGAGTGTGAGGTCAGAAGGGGTTAGTTGCCAGGCCTCTTCTTCCCCACTAGACAAGCACTTGAAGGAAGCTGGTCAGTGGAGATTCAGTGGAGTGTGTGGTGAGGAGCACAGGGAGGAGAGCCTATATAAGGATCATGTGGGACTTACCATCTTTGCCTAGGTTCAGTGTGAGTTTGGAGGAGGGTTCTTCAGCCCGGCAAAGCTGGTTGCTCCCCTGGGTGACCTCAGGACAGCTTTCTGGTGTTCCCTTCCGGGTGGGATTTGAAGACCCATGTAGTGGGGGATGTGGCCTGAGCTGCAGGCAGTAAGCCTCCAGAATTCTGGAGCATTTGTTGTTGTTACTGTGCTGGAGGCTTGAACCCAGAGTCTGGCGCATAGGAAGCCATGCTCTAGCACTAAGATCTGTGCAGGCCCTGTGGGACACTCAGAGAAGCTGTGGTGGGGAGGCTGAGGGCCAAATCTTGGGAAGAGGCAGGCCCCTGCACTGCCTCCATTGCAGGTTGAGGCAGCAGCACAGAGGAGGATGGCTGTCACCTGCAGGAGAGGTCCCAGAGGCTTTTCAGTGCCCAGACTCCTCAATGCCTGAGGGCTTCCAGTCAAGATTTATGGAGGCCCTTCACTTAACAGTGACTGGACACTGGATTACCCCTGGGACCTTGAGGATCAAGCTCTCATGTGGAGGGTGGAGGGGGACACTTGGAATGGTTACTAGACAGGCCCAGCCCTGGTCACCTCCAGGACAAGAGATGCAGTGTGGGGCATTGTAGCCACCACCAGCCCCTGATGGCCTTGGCAGTGGCAGTGGTGCCGGGAGGGTAGAGGGGTGGGGAATCCAGGAGGAGCTGAGCCCAGACCTAGACAGCTGCAGTGTGTCCATTGAGTGAGTGCTGCAGTTGGCAGAGCTAAAAGCTGCTCCTCCCGCCTTTTTCAAGCCAGTGGTAGCCAGCTTCCCACCCAAGGGGTAGGGGGAGATCAGCGCCCTGGAGAGGCTCCAGAGTTATCACCCCTCCAAGATGGAGAAGAGAATAGATGCCCTCTGAGCAGCAGGAACTCCTGTCCCCGCCCCCCACGTGGCCAGAGACCAGCCACAGCAGTGAGGCTGCAGCGGGGGGGAGGGGGGGGGACGGGGACGGGGGGACCACACACCACCCAGCGCTGCCTGTACCCTCAGGATGTTCCAGGCGGCAGGAGACTGCGGGGACACATGGAGTGGGAAAGGAGAGGGGTGCACAGCTCATCCTGTGGGTCTGCCGAAGGAGCAGGGTAACCAGGAGGTTGCGGCTAGGGTGTGACATGTGCTGCGGATGGCAGCCGGGAGGGAGGTACCTCCCCCTGGACGCTGTTTTGACACTTCTTACATGTGAGCAATAGGCTAATTTTATTAGGCTCGGGCTCAGTAAGAAACCAACGAACAAACGAGGTGCACGGATAGTTCTTCCGGACTAGTGATTGGCCCAGGAGGCCAGAGACTGCGCAAGCAGGAGGGCACGTGGCGCCTCTGTCCGGGTGGGGGCGTGGTGGCCCCTGTCCTGACCCCGAGTAGCGCGAATTTTGGCGCCAAGATCTGCAGCTGTAGGCCACTGAGGCGCAGAGGAGGAAAGGATATCTTGGAAAGAAGATAGTTCAAATTCCTTCTTGTGTCCTAATTGTCTCTAATTTTATTCTTTTCATTCCTTAAGTTTCTGGACGCTCCAGAGTGCCAGACACCCATCAGGTCCCTAGGATATGTTGCTGATATGATAAAAATAAAACAAAACAAAAAACCAAACCAGTCATGGTGCTTTGTGTGCAATGGCCACTAGAGAGAGCCGAAAGGCAAGCATCAAAAGGCCTTTGAAGCTCTGCCTCCTCAACCCTTTGGGAAGGTGGGTATCCAATCCCTTTCCTTGTTCTTCTGTGGTCTCTGGTACTTTTCGGCTTATTGGAATTTCACAACTTGCCTCATGTTTGTTCTAAGCAACACCCACCCTCTCCTAGTACCAGCTGTCAGGCACTGGGGATTTGTAATCCCTGTCAGCTGGCCTGCTCTGCTTCTGTGGAGAAGTAGTTGGGAACTGCTGGCTGCCTTTGCAGACATGAAAAGGCCCTGAGGGAGAGCATATGCTCATAAAAATTATGGGATTCCATAGCTTTGAAATCTAATGATCTTGAGTGATCAAACACAGACTGAGCCCTGGGGGGTCTGGGGGAGGTACTGAGGGAGCAGAAGATCTTGGGTGAGAAGGCCTGGGGCCTGGCACTGGGACAGAATAATTAGCCTCAGTGGGAGGAGGTGAGGAGGCCAGCAGCCCAAGGGTGTCTGCACTGAGCAGGGTGAATCACAATAGCCAAGAGCTGGGTGGTGAACCATCCTCTCCCAAAGGAAATCAGTGGCTTCTCTTTGTCCCTGCTTGGTCCCGTACATGGACAAAGGGAGCTGGATTTTATTTGTAACTCTTGGGTTGGTGGGAATGGAAGGATAGTTGGTAGAATTAGGTCTCCAAAGCCAAGGCTACATGAAGGTCTAGAGTGGTTTGGAGAGAGAAGAGCAAGGCTTTGTATTGGTTAGGAGTGAGGACAATGGTGAAGAGGTGGGGTAAGATGAAAGTGAGATTTTGCTCAGCTTTTATTTTCGCTCCAAGTTAGTCCCGCTGACCCTCTTTAGGAAATGAGCTTGCTATGTACAGTTGATGAAGTGGGAAAAACCTCAGTTTGCTCTGTCGCTGATGAACTGTGTGAATCTGCAAAGGCCCCTCCCTTTCACCAGGTCTCAGTTTTTTCATTTAAAATTAAAGGAAAATGGAGAACTTTAAGGTTACTCTTACCTTTGTCTTTTCTGTGAGCCTCTCTCCTATATCACCCTACATTCCAGACTCTGGGGCTGTGGGCTTATGTAACTCAGCTCTTCTAACCTCTTCAAGTTTCCCAGCAATAACATAAAGGAGAGAAACAGGGGTTGGGTTGTATTTGTTGATTTCCAGTGCAGCACTTTTGTAGCAAGGTGATAGGAAGAAAGGTTAGGACCTTGACAGGGCCTCTATTCCAACTCGGCCAGCAATTATGTCTTCATTTTGGAAAGTAACCACCTTTTCCGCTTTAGGGTGCCCTAAAAATTTCAGTCTCAAGCAGTCCCCCAACCCAAATCCCCTCCATAGTTCTTCTATTTTTCCACTGTCAGCTTTTCCAGAGAATAGAGATCCAGGAAGAAAAATGGTTTGGAATGAAACTTCAATTCTAAAGCTAAACTTCCTGCTGTTAACCAGATTAAAGTTGGTTCACCCTCGCAGACAAAATACATATCAAAACCAAACATTTAGATCTGTTTATTTTGTTCCAAACCCCTTCAGGATTTAAATGTCCCAGGTCTCAAGCTCTGAAATTTTGTTCATTCTCCTAGTTTTAACTAGTGGTGCATAAGAGACTGCATCCTATTCTAAATATTAATACTGCTGTTTTGGCCAACCAACATTCTCTCAAAAAGCACACAAGCCCACACATGCACATGCACATGTGTGGAAATAGTAAATTGACATCCTGTCAATGTTAGGTGGGCAGATTTGGGACCTGTGAATGTCTTTCCTTTATCTGCAGAGAAGTGGGTGGCAGCCTGGCTCTTAAGGGGGATCTAGCCATAAACAACGAAGACCCTGCACTCTCACACTTGAGGCTACTCCTCAGCCCCTTATCCCTGCCCCAGGGCTTGGTGGGGGTGAGGAATGGAAACAGGGGCATTGTTGTTCCAGTATTTTCAGTGGCCTCTCCTGGGAGTTACAGGGCTCCTGGGGCCCAGCTTCTCCTGTTCCATAGAAGCTTGAGCTGACAGGACAGTAACTCTGCCCTTTCCTGCCCATGGAGCCAAGAACCAATGGGTTTTCCTTTGGGGAGTTGATAAGAGCTGGACTGGGACCAGAGGAGGGGGACTTAGGACTTCGGCCTTGAATGAAACATCAGAGGCCAACCATACCCCAGCTGCCTGTTAGTAACGGAAAAACTCATGTATGGGGACCATTGTCGTCTTTGGAGGCCCTCAGAGCAACCTCATCCTCTTGGTCTTGGGATGACCCTGGCTTGGGGTGGCAAGTTACTGTTGGCTTCATGTAACAGCCAGAGATGTCTGGCAAAAACATGATGAAAGGTTGGGTGACAGGAACACAATAGACAAAGGCCTAGAGAGGAGAGAAAGAGACACAAAGAGGGAGGAAAGAGGCTGAGCTCCTAATGAGGTGAGCTGTGCAGCTGGACATAGCCTGGCAGTGCCTTTTGCCTCCAGCCAGGGGCACTTGGAATGCTCTTCAGTAAGACTGTTGCCCAGAGCCTAGGTGTAGGGAAGCATCTGGTACCAAGTTCAGAGGGACAAAGGTGGTCCAGAGCCTACTTTTCCTGGTACCTTTAATGCCCACTAAGGAGAGTGGCCCAGAGTACCCAGCATAGGGGACATAGTGGGTAGTAAAGGCTAAGATGGCTTCCTGTTCTTAAAAGAAATTGCCCAACTTTATGTGCAGCTGTTGCCTATACCTTTTTTGGGATCCAGGTGCAGAATGACTTTTTTTTCCCTAGATCAGTCCATTTCTTGACTTGGTCCAGGCGGAAATAGAAAATTGGGAGATGGAGGAGTTGGTCCTTCACTATGTCATTAACCACAGCACCTTCCCCCACCATGCCAGTGCACTGTCATCAGCCCTCCTGTGTCTGCTGAGATGAAAGGAACTTCTTCACATTTTGACAAGTGGATACAAGGATGGGAAGCTGGGATGGCCGCTTGGTTAATGTGTTGGCTTGGGAAATCTGTAAAAGTTAATGAGTGATACATGGAACTCTGTGGTGTTTAAAGTCCCTTCCCTGTATGATGGTCTGCTCTTCCAGTCTATAATTATATCAGTTTGAGCCAAAAAGTGAGATGTGGCTCAGCCTGAGATAAGTAGGATTAATGCTAGTTTTAGGGATGGAGTGGCTCAAGATGAAGCTGATTTGACCCAAGCTCTGAGTCCCTCCTTTCTCCAAGCACCTAGGTGTCTATGACAATCATGAAAAGAAATAGAGGGGAAGAAAATGGAGAGAAGACAGTAGAGGGAAAATAAAAGGGAAGAGGAAAGCAGACTGTTAACCAAGCATATCGTGGGGTGCTGCCTGTACTCATCCCTTGGGAAGCAGAGCTTTCAGGAGCTGAGAGATGAATCAAGGCTCCTTGTCTCCTTTGTCCTTCCTCCCCAAACCCCAAGTGGCTTCCAAGGATGAATAGAAATGAATTCCTCAGCAAACAGAAGTTTGAGTCTCCCCTACTAGGTTCCTGGGACATAGTAGCACCTTTGACAGTTGATTGTAGTGGGTGACTAAGAAGCTGGGGCCAGAGGTTACATCCTCCTCCTTCCCCTGGTTAGAAAGCATATGGATAGGATCCAAAGGCTGGGGGTTGGGGGATGCCATACTTTCCCAGATCCCAGGAGAAGAAGGGCCTGGCAAGTTTCAAGGTATTCATGGGGAGAATTTGGTTAATGAGTTTGGAACACCGAGAGCATTGGCTCAGAGGAGATGGTCAGGTGGTTGAAATGCTGTGTGCACAAGTCTGGGAACAAGTGTGCTGGTGGCAAAAATGTAAATGCTGAGCGAGGATGGAGGGGTGGGGAATGGAGGGATGAGGCTAGGGAGGAGCACACAATGGCAAGACATAGGCATTAAATTGGCTCTTCCGGGGTTGGGGAACCAGGCAGCAGTTCTCCGTTGGGGTCTGGATCATGGGATAACATCTTATCCTTGCTGGAATCCCTCTGCTCCTTCTTGAACATCCTTTGATGCATCAGCGGGACAAAGAAGAGGATTACAGCCCCGATGATGGGGGGCACACCCGCAAAGTAGAAGGCCACGTGGTAGTCACCAAAGCAGTTGTGAAGGAGGCCTGAAAGGGTCAAGAGACAGGAGTTCAGTTCAGCTTTGCCCTGTCACCCAGAGGTGCTCTCTCCCTCTTCTGGGAGAGTGTTGGCCTGTGCTGTCTTGACTCTGGAGTGCCCTCAACTTCAAGGCAGGTGGCTCTACCCATGCTTATAGGGCTATAGGCCCCTGAGGTGAAAACTCATTAGGAAAGACAGTAATAAACCTTCTCTTAATTTTCTGCATTTTGTCTTTCATCAAGCTTATAATCACCTTCCAGTCTTTCCTAAGGCTGAAGTTACAAAGAAATTTAGTTCCAAAGAACTCCAGAGAACAGTGAAGCCTTGCCTTGGTTCATGGTGGTAGTCCCCATCCCACCCTCATTTTGTTCTTGTGGAAAATTTCAGCTGAGTTCTTTTTTAACATTAAAATTTTATTTATTTTTCTATTGTGTGTGTGTGTGTGTGTGTGTATGTGTGTGTGTGTGTATACGATGTGCATGTGCTGGGGGGTTTCATGTGCATAACACGGTATGCATGTGGACATATTTGTCAGAGGAAAAATTTGTGGAGTTGGCTCTCTCTTTCCACTTTTATGTTGGTTCTGGGGATCAAACTTAGATAATCAGGTTTGTTTGACAAGTGTTTTTTTCTTTAATATTTTCTTTATTTTTTTAATTCTACGAGTATGAGTGTTATGGCTGCATGTAAGTAAGTGTATCTATGTCGTGCAGTGCCCACAGAGGACAAAAGAGGCTTTTGGATCCCCTGGAACTGGAGTTATGGACAGCTGTTAGCTGCCATGTGGGTGCTGGGATTCGAACCCAGGCCTTCTGCAAGAACAGTCAGTGTTCTTAAGTGCTGAACTATCTCTCCAGCCCCCTGTTTGGCAAGTGTTTTATCCACTGGGATATCTTGCCAGTCATCATCTCGGCTTTTTCTCTGATGTTCCAATTGCCCTTAGAGGAAAATGAATGTGCGTATTTTCTTCCGGTTACATGTATGAAGGAGCCCTCTGGGTTCTTCCAGCTGCCATTGGTGTGTTTGGTGTGAGATGCTCACCTCAGAAGCTAATATGAGGTACATCATTGTGAAGATGAATCCAGAAAGCTTCCCAGAAAAGGCGGAAAGACCCTTATTCTTTTGTTTACTTGGGACATAAGTAAGCAAAAAGGGCAGAATTGTGGATTCTGTAACACTCTCTGACTGGGTAGAGGCTCCCCTTTCCCATTAGAAAGTGTTCCTATTACATAACAGCCTTTATTGAAAGATTTTCCACTATCACACATTGCCCTCAGAACGCCTTGCACATAATTGGTATTCAAGGAATATTTGTTGAATTAGTGCATTTGACAAATGTGGGGGCGTGGTGGCTAACACATGAACTGATGTTTGCAGTAAATGCCTAGAAAGGAGATGAAATTCTCTTTTCATTGGTTTTCCTGTTTCTTGTGTTCCTTGAGGTATCCACAAGTGCCCTTCTGGGAGGGAGGAGGCTAGGATGGCATACTAGTACTTTGTTAGTCCTGGGATATTTTAAAAATCAGATCTCTTTTATGGGCTCAGTTCCAAAGCCAGTAGAGACAGAGGAGGAGGAGGAGGAAGAGGAGGAGGAGGGGGAGGAGGAGGAGGAGGAGGGTGCCACTAAGTTTTAATAAAACAAGGGTCAACTTTCTATTTTCCCACTTCTTTTCCCAACCTCATTGAAAATAATCACTGGACTGTGGAGAGAGTAATGAGAAAATTGGATCAAAGTCAGGTATGATGGTGCTCATCTGAACAATCCCAGAACTTGGATGCTGAGGCAGGAGTATAAAGAGTTAGAGGCCAGCCTGGTCTGCCTAGCGAGTTCCAGGCTAACCTGGGTAACATAACATCAAGAAGGCCAAACTTATTTTTCTTTCTACTCTTCTGGAAGGAGCCATGCTATCTAAAACAAAACCCCAGTGAAACATACATAGTCATGGACAGCATATACTCCAAAGTGAATTTATGCTGTTATACTGTGTTTAATCTCTTCCATCAGTGATGGGAAGGGGTTTCCTGCAGTCTAAAGAGGTGTTCACACAGAAAATCAGAATGGAAGGAGCTTAAGTGGAGATACTCAAAAAAGCTAGAACCCTCCCAGGGAACATGAGACTCACACCTTCTCCAGAAATCAGCTCACCTGCAATGGGGGGCCCAGCAATCATTGGCAGGGCCATCATGCCCAGGAGGTAGCCAATGGCCTGTGAGGCCTGCATGGGGCCCACCAGCTCAAATGCGATGGGGGCCATGATGGTGATGAAGAAGCCATCACACAAACCCAGAAAGAGGCAAACAACGATGAGGCCCCCGAAGTCCTGGCACAGGGGGATCATCATGGACATCAGGCCCAGGAGCAGGAATGAAAGGACCTAGAGGAAGAAGAACCTAAAGTCATGTGCTGACCAGCCAAAAAAAACACATAGTAAATGACATCTCCTTTCTCAGATCTTCATTTCTCCCATCTGTAAAATGAGGTGGGGTGGGGTATCAACAGGCAGAGTAGTTGAAGATTATTTACTATATACTCATGCCCCTTCTAAGTTTGTATTGAAGAGTCTATCCTTTAAAAGTGCCTCTGCTTAAGCTGAATCTAGCAAGATGTTTTAGAAATCTTGAGAGAGGGAGGATGTAACCCCTGGTCAAAGAAGTTGGTCTTTGTAGTAGTCGCTGAGATAAAGGGAGGAATTGTTTTCTGATTTCTGATCCTGCATCTGCCTGTCCCAGGGATCAGGACCTAGGATCAGGCCATGTTGGTGTTCTCAGATCCAAGTAAGGTATGGGAAGAGGCAGAGAGGAGGAGAGGAAGGCTTTTATGATGATTAGATGGGGGCTTCGATGGAAGGTGCAGCTTACTAATATGGGAAAGAAGCTTTGTGGAGGTAGATTTTAGGAAACATCTGGACCCAAGAGAGACCATTGGGATGTTCACTCAGGTTCCTTGTGCTTTAGGATTTGGGTCACATCCACCATCTCACACATTTCAGGCATTGTGTTTCTAAGAGCCTTTGGGCTTGGCTGCAAGCTAAGAAGGCAACAAGGAGTCTTGCAAGGGAGCTAAGCTACTAGGAGGGTATCTGCAGAGCCTAAAACTAGCCCATGAGCACTGACTAGCCACTGTGATTTCTCTGGGCTGAGTAAAGTGATTCCAAAACAAAGACACTGTCTTTCTAGAGACCAGTTGTTTTCTCTCTCAACAGATGAAGGGCCACTGAAAGCACTACTGCTTTTCAAAAATTTGTTAAGGGGGCTGGACAGCTGGCTCAGCAGTTAAGTGCACTGGCTGCTCTTGCAGAGGACCCAGGTTCGAATCCCACACCCACATGGTGGCTAACAACCATCCATTAACTCCAGTTCTAGGGGATCCGATACCCTCTTTTGATCTCCACGGGCACTGTATGGCATGGGTGCACTTACATACATGTAGGCAATATATTTATATGCATAAAATAAAATAAAATAAAAATATTAAGGACATTTGCAGCCTGTGTCTCTGGTACAGGCTGAAGACCTAGGCTGCAGGCAGAGAGAGGAGCCCCTACTCCCAACTTACTGAAGCTGGCCGAGCCAGGTCATATCAGGGCCAGAGCTATGACGTGATCTGATTACTAAGGCCTTAAGATACCCAAGGTTTTTCAAATAGTTTGTAGTTGACTAATAGTTGGGCTAACTTACCCAGGAACACAGAAGAAATAGAGGTTAAATCTGCTTTGTGTGCTAAAGATGTTCCATGTTGTTGCTGATGGTTGTTTTGTTAGGTCAATCAGTTGGTGTTGCTTTTTAGAAAGAATAATGTCATCTGAGGATATGTCTTTGTTGAGGGACCTTGAATTTTATCCAGTCCCTTTTGAGGTAGCTAGGCAGAAGCTAATAATAAGAAATAAGGCACCTCAACTTCTCCTCTATGCACTTCACACATAACTATGTGACAAAACCAGCCCCATCTTTCAACCAAACCAATTATGGCAGTTAAGATTTAATACCACAAAGGACCCCATTAACTGATTTTAATTAGCTATAGTCACTAACTATTTTGTCTACCTCCCTGTTTTCATCCTGCACAAGGCCTTGCCAAGGTTTGGAAATTAAAAATCCCTCCTGGAACTGGAAACCAGTCTTTAATAATGGCCCAAAGTGAGGCTATCTTGCAGGTTGTCTCTATTTCCTTTCCAACAGACTATGAGGGGACTATATGTCAGGCATGTCTGCTGTCTTCACCAACTATCAGAACCATAAAGTCTACTTGGACAGCTCTTCAGAACCTGAGGCTACATACCCTATTTTCCTCCCAATGCCTGTACTCCTGCAGCTGACCCTGAGAGCAAAGGAGGCCAGTTCCTGTGATGGTGTATCTTAAAAAACTACAGAGGAGAAGTTCATATATTGTCTTGTGCTTTGGTTCTGGAACACTGAATTGCTTTCTGTGCGTGTGTGCATGTGTGTGTGTGTGTGTGTGTGTGTGTGTGTGTGTGTGTGTATTTGTGGGTGCATGTGCAGGGGCACATGTGGACATACATACAGAGGCCAGAGAACAACCTCTGGCGTCATCCTCAGAAGGCCATGTACTTCTTTTGAGACAGGATCTAACACTGGTCTGAAGCTCAGCAGTTAGACTAGGTAAGCAATCCCTAGGAATTCACCACCTAGCACCACCTCCCCAGTGGTGTGTAATAAGTGAGTGAGTGCCACCATGCCCAGCTTTTTTTTTTTTGTCTTTTTGAGACAGGGTCTCTCTGTAGTCCCAGCTGGCCTGGAGCTCACAATGTAGACCAGGTTGGCCTTGAACTCACAGAGTTCCTCCTGCCTCTGCCTCCTGAGTGCTGGGATCAAAGGCATGTGCCACCATGCCCGGCTCATGCCCAGCTTTTTAAAAAATTAGTTATCATTTGTGTGTGTGTGTGCATGTGCATGCACTTGTGCATAATGTGTGTGTATCTGGGTACATCATGTGCCATAATGTGTATGTTGCAGTCAGATGAAAACTCCACCTTTACATGGGTTCTAGGGATTGAATTCAGGTTGCCAGGCTTGTGTAGCAAGTACCTTTACTCACTGAGCCATCTTGCTGCCCCCCATTTTTGCTTGTTTTTTTTAAACAGGGGTTCTGATGACCAAATGCAGATCCTTTCACTTGTAAGGCAAGCATTTTATTGACTGGCTCATCCTTCTACCCCCAAAGCACTCAATTTGTAAAATGAGGGTGCTAAACGATGAAGAAGGTACCTTAGCTATAATATTCTACAGCTATTTTCTATTATTCTAAGTGTTGAAACTATGTTAATTAAGAGGAAAAGGGGCAGGAGCAGAGTGGGTGGGGAGAATCAGAAGAAGTCCTGAGTCCTACTTAGTTGAGCTTCTAACTAGCTGTGCCTCCCTGTCACTTGGAACTCGAGCTGCACAATAGAAAGCAAAAGTGGCTTACGCCCTGCCTTTCTGCTAGGGACTGTGGTGAGAGGTACTGAGCTATAGCACTAGGCATGGGCTTCTGTCTCTCCTCAAGACAAAGTTCTGGCCCAGTGCCAGCTTATGCTTACTTCCAGAACCTTCTGGCATCATCTTGAAGCTGCTAATACTGGCAGGAAAGATAGGAAAGACTCATAGTGGGGGGGGGGTGAAAAAGGCTGAGAGAGCACACATAAAAGCCACTGAGATAAAGCACTTGCTTATATTTGCACAGGAATTCAGAATTTCACAATTGGTTTATCTCAGACACAAGCTCTTTGTTTGACCTTGGTGAGTCACTTATCCCCTGGAACTGGAATTACAGATGGTTGTTAGCTGCCATGTAGGTACTGGGAATCGAAACTGGGTCTTCTACAAGAATAGTCAGTGCTCTTAACCGCTGAGCCACCTCTCCAGCCGAAGACTGACATTTTGACTGGTAGCCTGTATTCAAATTAGACAGAACCCAGTTCACTCATAAAGTGACATCTGGAGCATCTGTCTACACATGCCCACATGTAACTCTATTGCCCACAACATGAGGAAATTTGTGTCACTGTCTAAAAGACTAAACTCTTGGTTACCCCTATATTTATTTTGATGCCTGTTTTAGGTGAGATAGGAAAGGGAAGAATTATTCTTACTGTGCAAATATGAAAAAATGAGGACTAGTAAGGCTGAGTAAGGTCTGTCCTTTTCTGGCACAATTTTGGTGTCCATTGGTAGGATGGCATTTCAGAACTAGTGCCTGATGCTAAGTAGCTCTGGAAATGTGAGAAGAAATGAACCTGGTCCCAGGTCCGGAAGAGACAGACACTAGGCTACTGAGTGCTACAGATGTCGGGACAGCATAGAGAAGTAGTGCAAGCAGTCTTTACATGGGGAAGCATCGAACTTGTGGCATTGGTTTCCCACTTTCATATGTTGAGCTATTATTAATTAAAAGCATCTGTGTAACATGTTCTACAAGGTTCCATATACACTGCTCTCTCTGAATTCTTAGTCCATTTTGATGAAGGAGGCCAAACAAGGATAACTGCCTTTGAAAGCAAGGGTAACTGAGGCTTCGATTGTCTACCATGTTATACAAAGCTGATGTCATAGCTGGGACTCAGAGAACTGCAGAGATATACCCCATCTCTCTATCTTAGAGCCCAGGGAGAACTTTTGGCAGGCTGTTCTTCCCCACAGTAGACAAATGGACACACTTACTTGCAGGTAGATCTTCTTAAGTCCAGGAATAGAGTCACTGATGTGGCCTGACACAAGACGTCCAAGGCCTGAGGTAGCCCCAATACATACCAAGAGCACCCAGGTCTCCTTGATTTCCCGGAATTCCTCTTCCACATACTTCATCTGAAAGGCATAACACCAGGACCCCCAAATAAGAGGAGAAAGAAGAGCTGACTGGATAAATGCTGACATATCCAGGATTCTCTACTGCCCATTTCCCTGGAACAGGATGGCAGCCTCTGATTGGAGCAACACCCTTCTTCCGTGTACCCCAGATTCAGGAAAAGCCCTCTGGCTGCTTATATACTGGGGATGTAGCTTAATGATAGACCATGTGCCTAGAATGGATAGGGCCCTGGCACGCACACACACACACACACACACACACACACACACACACACACACAGAACCCAAAACAACAACAAAAAACCACCTCAAAGTATGTGGAGAATAACAGCTGGTCTACAACCAACAGTTCTGTGGTCAAGTAAGTTTAGTGATGCTGGATAAACAGAGTTGATTAGGCCTTTTTTTAAAAAAACTGCAAGATTTGTTACTACATTAAAGGGATCACTACATATTACGAATCCAGAGAGCTCCCACATGTTATTTTCTGAACAAAATCATTTGACCACAAAGACCAACATTCCACAGAACAATCTTTACAAACTATGTCTTAGGTTATCTGAGCTATGCTCCCAATGATGCTTATCTCCTAAAGACCATCTATCCAATTATTTTTTTCAGTACTAGTGATTAAATCAGGGTCCAGTGCATGCTAGGCAAGCACTCCACCACTGAGATCTGCAGCCTTCTTTTTTTTTGGCTTTTTTGAGACAGGGTCTCCCTGACTCACTGTGTAGACCAGGCTGGCCTTGAGCTCACAGAGATCTGCCTGCCTCTGCCTCCCGAGTGCTGGGATTAAAGGCGTGCACCACCACGTCCGGCCATTGCAGCCCTCTTTTTATCTTTTTTTTTTTTTTAATTTGAGACATAGTCTCACTAAGTTGCTCAGACTGGATTGAATTAATCTTGTAGTTCAGGCAGGGCTTGAATTTGTAATCCTCTTGCAAACCTCTGGAGCAGCTGGGATTTTAGATTTTCACCACCAGGTCTGGCTTCTGCTTAAATTTTAATCATGGGGGAAGCCATGGCTCTTGGGCCTTCCCCTAATGAACCACCCTACCATCCCATCCTAGAGTCCAGTGGATATTTACCATTGAGGCTCTCTCTGGATCCATGCTCTCTTTTCTCTCTCTCTCTCTCTCTCTCTCTCTCTCTCTCTCTCTCTCCAATCACTGTTTCGCTCCTTTTTTCTTTATTTGCTTGAGACAGGGTCTTACTTTTTAGCCTAGGCTGGCATCAAAATCATACCAATCTTCCTTCTTCAGTCTCCCAACTGTTGTGATTACAAGCCTGAGCTATGCTCAGCTCTGTTTTGTTTCTTTTTTCAAAGATCCCAGCTCTATCCTTTCAATGTCTTCCACCTCCACCCTCTGGACTCCAGGCAGGTTGAAATCAAATTATTCCTCACCAGGTGTACATAGGGAACGAAGTAGCCAAGGGCAGCAGCAGCAATCCCGAAGGCCCAGATGCGGTAGGTGCGTTGGCGGAACACTCGCATGTTGAAGTACTTCCGGAGCTGAGCCAGAAAGCGCTGGCGCAGGGTGTGCACACCTCTCTTGCTTGGGGTGTCTTGGGAGCTGGGCAGGAGGGGCCGGTAGGTGAGTGACAGCAGCATAAGAACAAACATGAAGGTACTTAGCACCTGGAAGGTTTGGGCCAGCTTGATCTTATCCCCCAGCATTTTGATGAGGAAGGGGAATGACATGGAGAAGATGCTACTCCCAGCAGATACCACACCATTGGCCAGACCTAGGCGGCGTTGGAAGTAGTGGCCCAGGATGACGAGGGATGGTTGAAAAGCAAAGGAACAGCCACAACCGAAGAGAATCCCATAGGTGAAGTAGCGCAGGCTCAGGGAGCTGTGGGAGAAATACCAAGGGCTATTTTCAGCAGCCTGACAAAAATCTACCTACCTCCCTCCTTCATCCTTGGAGACATCAATTCCTCCACCCTTAACCCACAGCCCCATTTACCACTGACCTGTAGAGGAGATAAAGAACTTTCTGAATCTCACTTTGCAGAAGGGGAAGCAGAGAATCAGGGAGGTTTGTTGCCCAAAGTAACTACTGGACTTCAAAAAAGCTTGGCCTTGAGACAGATGTGACACACACCTGTAATCCCAGTACTTGGAAGGCTAAGGCAGGAGGATCAGGAGTTCAAGGTAGCCTGGGATACACAGTGAGACCCTATCTCATTAAAAAATATAGCCGTAGGCTTGAATTCAGATCTATATGATTATAGCATAACTCATAGCATGAAAGATGTTTTTTTCTAAAAGAAAGAAAGCCAGAATTGGCCTTTGCAGAGGCTAGATGAGGGGTTATAAGGAGACAATCAGAGCCTTGGAGAGAAGTTTCATCTTTGTTTCTTTTAAAGAGTTATTTTTGTTGTTTAATTTTATTGTTTTTAATTATGTGTATATATGTGTCTATATGCCTATATGTGTCTGTGAACATGACTACAGGTGCCCTGAGAAGCTAGAGGAGTTGGATCCCCGTGGAACTGGAGTTGCAGGTGGTTATGAGCCACCTGATATAGGTGCTGAGAATTGTACTCAGGTCCTCTGGAAAAGCAGTGCATGCTCTTAACTGATGAGTCATCTCTTCAGCCCCTCATCTTACTTCTTACCTAGACACTACAAGTGGGCTGGGGGACCAAAGCTTTATTCTAAGTAACAACAAAGGTTCACAAGAAGCCAAAACTCTGGAAAGCTGAGACTCTCCATGGGACTCCTCAGTGTCTCTCTGCTCTCAAGGCCCTTAATATTTCAGAAAATGGCTAATGATTTCAGGAGAATTCCCTTTCCTTGCAACCTTGCCCATGGTCCAAATATCTCAAGTGTTATATCTCAAGCCTTGAATGATTTCCATTGGGACTATGAGTTAAGGAGTCCCTTTAATTTTCAGAGTTCTTTATCTATTGCTGAACATTGGTTTGGATTAGTTCCCATAGAGTAGCCTGGTTAATTGACAGGAAGTGGAGTCTCAAGTTGTAGGCCTGGCCAAGAAAGACAGGTCCTGGCTTAAAACTCTTTGGCCCTGCTCTGTCATAAGCCTCTAAAACAGAAGGCAAAGTGCTGGAAAGGGAAAAGCCATGGGCAGGTCAGTTTGGCCAGCTATCTGTCCTCAGAAAATACTGACACAACCTAGTGAAGAGTTTTATTTTATTTTTGATGCTATATTTTGCAATAGTTCTTATCAGGCCACTAAATTAATCAGTGCTCTTCTTAGTCAGGTTATTGTTCCCCAGACACAGACTTAGTCTTTAGACTAAAGAACTGGACCTATGCTGCACTACCAATGTGGTATTAGATTCTCAATGCCAAGATAACTGTTATCATTGTTAACTTCCATTTGCTTGTATTCACTGGATGTGAATTTAGTTTCTAACAGGTTGTCTCTATTTACAACATATAGCTAAGCTTAGTGTTCTCTTCTGTTAGGTTCCTTGGGGTCTTCTCCTATTAGATTATAAATACCTTATGGGATTGGCCTCGCCTAGGTCCTTATCTAAGGGAGAGGAGCCAGGCCTAAAAGAAGGGGGCTGTGAAGGAAACATGAGATTCAGTTCATGGTGCTGTGTGGTGAATCTATTTCTAGCTGGGCTCCAAGACAGGAGGAACTTGAACTGGGCTTGCTAGAGCCTCATCAGTGCTGCCCTGTGCTCTGACCTACTCGTCATCTGAAAGGACTCAGAGCCCTGATCTGAGACAATAGGAAATAGGACTTGGAGCTCTAGCCACAAGCAGAACCATTTGTTTTCCCTTGGACATGAAGTCATCCAGAAAGTTTCTTGACTTGGAAAATATTCTTTCAGAAAGAGCAGAGTAGGGGGTCAGGGACTAGAGAACAAAATGCCCCCTGCAATAGGCTGAGAGTGCCAGAAGAAAATGTCACATCTGGGTGCATTTCCATCCTGTGCCTGAGCCCACGTGGACTCAAAGGGAAATGAGATCCGTATGTTGCTAATTTGTTTACATTTTGCTTTGCTCTGCCTCAAGAAATAAGCCTCTGCTGTGTAGCTCTGAGACTAGAGAGATTTCAGAAGCCTAGCTCACTCTCACAAGGAGTCAGGCACCAGCTTGTTGAGGGCAAATGAGGCTGACCAACAGAGGGGTCCCGAGAAGGTTTGAAGCTGCTGCCTTGGGAGGACTGAGAAGGTTCCAGGCAGGGTATGGTTTCCCTACTCCTTTGTCTGGGTTGGATGGGTTGGAACCAATAAACTACTGCAAGCCAAATCTAAGCTCTGCTGGAGGGCAAGCTGGGCAGCCAGAAATGCTCAAGTCATTAAGCAAGCTGGCTCACCCTCACCAGCCTCAGCTAAGGCAGTACATGCTTCTTAGTCTCCACTACATGTGGACATTTAAGCCCAGAGAATCATGGCTCTCTCTCCCGAGTCAAAGTAAAAAGTCTCTTTCATACTCAGCCTCCATTCTAGGTATTATGTCACTGTGGCCGTTTCTGTATCAACCTGGTCACTGTTCTCCAACAGTAGCCCAGGTAGATTGGTAGGAGGTATCACAACTTGCAGTGTTTTATGAAAGTCAAGAGACTTCTTTAGGAATCTTACATTACTCTACTGTGGGCTAGGGTCTTTATTCTCCCTTCCCCTGTACACATGCTTCTGTAGGGCTGGCAGGAAAGAAAGAAAATGCACATGTAGTCTTCTCACCTAGCACTACAAGTTCTGCCAGCGGGATCAACAAGACTAGAATTTTAGTTCAACTTGGACATAGCTAGGTTGCTGGCTTCTGAGTCTGCTTCATAAAGGATGCTGCTGAATATCCCTCTCATGAAAAAGACATGAATTCTTATCTGTCCTAATTCATCCGCGCGCGCGCGCGTGTGTGTGTGTGTGTGTGTGTGTGTGTGTGTGTGTAGAAGAGACACCCAGAAAAGAACCAGATATGCTAAATAGCTGTGGGCTCAGCTGATCTGTTCTTCAGATAAAGGATCTTTTAGGAATGCTAGATCTTCACACAACCTCACTCAAGTAGCTCACTTCTAGGAGGAAAGGTAAAGTCATGAAATGTGTGCCACATAAGAGGGGAATAGAATGGCAGAGCTAGGAGAGGTCTGAAGAAACAATGTGTAATTGTCTTGTGTTACAGATATGTAAAGTGAGATCCAGAGAGAAGGATGATCATCAGTTGTTCCATAGCCAGTTAGTGGTCAAAGCACAGTTTGGGCCCAGCTCTATGACCCCATGTTCTACACTACACTTTGGAAGTCTTAGATCCTTTGGGGGTGATTCCTTGTAAACGTTTCCTATAGACCCTTCTTTGATGAATTGCACTGGATCATGAATCCTGGGAGCAAGTTGGTCTTTGAGGGCCCTACATGGACAGAGCCACAGGGGATTCTACAATGAGAGCAGTGTCTGTAGCTGAAGCCCAATGAAAGAAGCGAATTCTCAGCCTTGGAGAAGTATTCAGCAACCCTGGGCCTTACCTGGTGAAGGAGCTGGTGTGGAGACCGATGAAAGCAACGGCAGCCCCTGCAGTGGCTGTGATCCGGCAGCCCAAACGATCAGTGAATATACTCACAATGGGAGAACAGAAGAAGATCATACCCATGGCAAGGGCACCGACCCATGCTGCAAAGAAAAGGACACAGAGGGAGGTTACTGTGGTGTCTAGTGATACTGCTGTTGCCTTTGCTTTTCTCTGGCCTTTCCGATGGGCCTCTGGCCTGCACTGTCAGCAAGCTGGTTGCTGATTATCAGAGAGGTATGCAAGTAGATGCAAGATATAAAGCAAGATTTAAACATGGTTGTCAGATTTGAACTAGTCAAATTTGTAACAGAACACAGGCATGCCAGGCCAGTTCTGTAGCTTTAGAAACAACTGCCTGGATTCAGGGGCAAGGAACATGAAGGTAAATTTTAGGAGCTATGGTCAGACTTGTCTCAATCTTTGGAACAAAAATCTAAATGCTAAAAATCTTAAAGATAATGCTAAGATTAAGAAGCAGAAAAAGCCCACTGAGATTGTACTAGAATATAGAGTAGATTCAGGGACCACCTGAAGATTTCCAAGGACTCTATGCAAAATGGTCACATAAACCCTTATGCTGAAATCCATCACCAGAGTCTATGTTTGGTAAATTTCTGACCTCCCAACTCTCAAGGAGTTTATCTTGTTTTTAGAGGCTGAGTATCTGTAACAATTTTCAACAGGGAGGAGGAAAGTTTTCCTTTTACTTACATTCTTCTAGCCCATTTCCCCTTGTTCACTCCTCAGAAGGAGAGCCTAAGATTTTTGTTTGTTTGAAGGCTGTTATCAAGTTTCATCTTGAGCCTCTCTTTTCTAGGTTAAATAATCTTAGTTCCTTTAACTTTTCTTCTTAGCTTTAATTTACTTTTGTAGCTGTAATTATTTTCAGAGTCCTCCTCTGAACTCATTCCAAGTCTTCATCATCATCATTATCATCATCATAAAAGCATTCAGTGTAACTGTCACCTGAACAGGGCTCTGGGCCAGCTTATTTCTCCAAGTGTGTAACCCCAAGTGGACCAGAGGAAAGGGCCACTCCACTGCCTGTGCCTCATACCTTCACTCCAAATAGGTTGTTCAGAACCCACTCAGGAATTTTTACTTTGCTAGGGTACTATCCTGAGCTCTAGCTGCCCAGCTCCAAAAATCCTGACTCAGGACAGCAAGGGCCTGGACTTTCATTACAATTTCACCTATTATTATCTGCAGGATCTTGGGAAACCACACTTCTCTAATCAGATTTCTCTAATCAAATTTGCCACTTGTGAAATGGGGTTTAAAATTCCAGTTGTGCCTTCCTCAAAGTGCTTTCCCCACTTGGAAGTGTTGGGGACTGAACATAAAGGCTCACAGGTGTTAGGGAAGTGCTCTACCACTGATCTACAGCACCAGCTGTAGTGTTTTCAAATAATGTTTTCATAGTGTTTTTATAGTGTTTTCAAATAATGATCAGATATAATTATATGTGAAAGAGAGCTTTGGAAATGTTAATAGTTACACTATATGTAAACAACAATACAAATGGATCATAAAATTTCTGGAAGAAAGTATAGGAGAAAAGTCATTTTAACTTTTTTTTGGCTTTTTGAGACAGGAGACAGGATCTCCCTGTAGTTCCAGCTGGCCTGGAACTCACTATGTAGACCAGACTGGCCTGGATCTCACAGAGTTCTGCCTGCCTTTGCCTCCCAAGTGCCGAGTGCTGGGATTAAAGACATGTGCCTCTACTCACGAAATCCTAGAATTAAGCAAAATTATGAGGACAGGAAAATAAATGTGTGAGGGAGAGGAGATAGGGGAAGAGAGAATTAGAGAAGGACATGAGGGAATGTTTTGGGGTCACTGTAGTGTTATTCTTTTGAAAGTGTATGGTTCAATGGTAGAGCATGTGCTTGGCATGTGTGAGGACCTGGGCTCAGTAAAAAATTTGTACAACTGAGCACATGAAAGGGCGACTATTACCATATGTAAAGTGCATCTCTAAATCTTATTTTTAAGAGGTGGCATGGGCTGGGGTATAGCTTGGTAGTAAGAGCTGTAGGAATGACTTTTTTAAAAAAAATACTTTAAAAAAATTAAAATCAAGCCAGACAGAACCTGGACTAATGACCTTTAAACTTGCAACCAAAAACTACAAAGTCACTGAACCATGTGTTCTTGTGATCTGGACACCTGATCTTGATTCCTCAGAATCTCAGTTTGCTGCTTCACCCAAAGATAGTGAATGAATGTGTGTATGTGTGAGATTAACATATCAAATCATGAAAAGCAGTGCATGCATGTTCATTGAAAACAATGAAGATGGAGAAGAATTGCTTGACCTTATGTGTATGACATGTTTTAAGCCTAGGAATGAAAGGGTAAGATTATCTGATAAGATAAGGGTGGATCTAAACTTGTAGTTCCCCAAAACTGATACAGGAGAAATGGTTTTGAATAAAAGTATGGGTGAGGCTTGACTCTGCAGCATAGTTCCAAGAGACATCTGGTGTAATATGTGTCCTCTGAGTTCTGGCCCATGCTTAAAGCTAAAGTTAAGGTCAGGCTGCTTTTGTTCGGGTATTAAGTGTAATGTGGCATGATAATGCCACAAAGAGCATATGGCTACTATCATGCAGGAAGTCCTAGGTTCAATCCCTAGCGACCATAAAGCAGTCGTGTGGACACTAAGCCTACAATCCCAAAACGACCAAAACCAAAAACAATACAAAGCCAGATTGAAAAATACCTCAGATGCATTTTCGAAGAGGAAAAAAAGTATTAAAGTTTGGTAGGTCATCTTACCTACTGACATTCTACAACTAGAACTCACTATTGCTTGCCTCTTTTGAATATCTATAGTACAATGAAAACTGATCATTAGGCTTGTAAAGCATCTTCTGTATGGTTCAAGAACGTTTAAATTTTATTTGATGTAATCTAATTTTTGAAAAATTTAAAAATCTGGAAATAATTATTAATTTACAGGAAACAGTCAAGATTGCTCAGAGGGGTTCCATGAGTCATTTGCACAGCATCCCATTATGTAACTATAACACAATATTAAAACAAGGAAGTTGACTGTGCTACAATGCATACTTACAGTTCTGTGTTGTTTTATTATGTGCAGATTCCTACCAAATTAAGATATACTATTTCAATACCACAAAGAGCTCCTTTATACTATCCATTTATAGTCAAGCCCAGATGTTTGTGCCACCATCCCTGATTCCTAATAACAACCACTAACTCACTTTGCATCTCTGTAATATATTTTTAATTTATTTTTAAAAATTTTAAGTTTTTATTTTTTTATTTTATGTGTATGAGTGTATTGTCTGCATTTATGTAAGTGCACCCGTGTTGTACAAGGCTGGTAGAGGTCAGAAGAAGGCATTGGATTCTCCTAGAATTGGAGTAACCAACAGTTGTTAGCCGCCATGTGGGTGCTGGGATTTGAATCTTGGTCCTCTGCAAAAGCAGCCAAACGCTTGACCAGAGACATCTCTCCAGTCCCTGTCTGTAATATTTTTACTTCAAGAAAGTTATATAAACAGAGCATAGTGACATGTACTCATAACCCCAGCATTTGAAATTCTGTGGCAGGAAGATCAAATGTTCAAAGCCAACCTGGGCTACATAGTGAGTTCAAGTTCCACCTAAGACACATAAGACCTTGTCTCAAAAACCAAATTCCCCCTCCAAAAATCCAAAAACCAAAACCAAAAATTAAACTTATATAGATATATAGTTTGTGACCTTTCAGCACAGCAAAGAATCAGCAGAGTAAAGAGACAACCTACAGAACGGGACAAAAATCTTTGCCAACTATATGCCAGCCAGGTTAATATCTAGGCATGTACTTAATTATAAAAATTAAATACCAATCCCCAAATCATCTGATCAATAAGTGGACCCATGAACTGAATTAACAATTCTCAAAAAGAAGAAATATAAAAGGCCAATAAACACTTGAAAATATGCCAGGTATGTTGACACATGCCTGTAATCCTAGCATTTGGGAGGTGCGAGCAGGAGGATTGGGAGTTCAAAGTCAGCCTTTGCTACCTAATGAGTTGGAGGGGAGCCCTAAGTGCACCTGAGTGCTACATAAGAACTTCTGTCAAACAAGAGCAGCAAAAACAAACTTGAGAAAATGTGTACTATCCTGAACAAATAAAAATTGTTGAGATTTCATTTCACCCCAGCCAGAATAGCTATCATCATGAAAACAAATGCCAACAAATTCTGGAAAGGATATGTGGAAAGGAACCATTACATATTGCTGGTAGGAGTGTAAACTAATGCAGATACTGTGGAAATTAGTATAAAGTTTTCACAGAAAATAAAACTAAAGCTACCATATGATTCAGTTATACCAGTCCTGAGTATATACCCCCTGTCACCCAAATTCCCTCTGGGTCTCCTGTGCTATCAAGCAAACCATATAACATATCTTTATGTGCATTTATTAACTTACAAAAGAATGAGTACCCAGTGCCTAGCCCCATGCCACAGCTCAGAGCCCACCATATCAGACTGCGCCATGCCCATAGTCACCGTAAGTATTTGCTCACGCCTCCAGGGCCAGCGATCTTGCCCCAGGTCCATAAGAGTCAGTCCATTCTGTCCTTGAGCTGCTGTGTGGCTGTGCATTCCCCATGCTGTGTGTGCTACCCATGGCTTGCGGCTTCCATCCCAAGATGGCTCCCAGCAGCCCCTCTGTAATCCACGTTACATGGCAGGCACTGCCCCTTGGAGGAACTAGCCAATTGGGAGACACTCCACCCCTTTCCTCTGCTCTTACAATCTTCCCGTCCGAGCCTTGCAGGGGGTGGTAGATGTAGGGCGATCTCTCTTGTATCATGGTGAGATAATGGTTTCTTGGGCCTCCTCATTAGTCATCTTTAGGCTGTGGCCACTGATCTATCTCAGTGGTGTTTCTTCTACTATAAAGACAAATGGAAGGAAGTAGACACGTTTAAACAAACATGAATGTAAATACAAATGCCTAGAGGATATCCCAGTAGGTGTACTATATTCATTAAACAGTATACTCATGATGGCTTCTCTACTAGGGCCTGTAGTCTGTCTCGATGCAAGGCATTGGCCTGGTGTACAG